TCGTAAATATTTTATAAACGTTTTGAATCGCCTGGCTATTAAGATCGCGATTCATGTTTGGTGTTAGTCACCTCACAAGCAGTTTATGAGACCCCGCATGCGATTGAGCAAAGGCCCCTAAGTCATGCCGTTATACTAAAAGTAACCACGACTCTCAAAGCCATTCTGTAAATATGGAATGGTAGTGAGTAAAGCTGACGCACGTAATAAAAAGTCATGATTCATAACATCGACATTTCCGTGATTTTCTAATTTCATGCCAAGCGGTGCAAGAAATAAACGATTGTAAAGAATTATACATATATAAAATGATATAGCAAACATATTAGATATAAATAGTCCCAGAAACGATTTACCCGTCCCTGCTTTTACCATAGCAACACAAATTTCACAACATTATGAGTGTGGCACTTTGTTTAGACAGATGGCAACACAAGCGCTAAATGTCCGGAAACGTATTGCGCCTTCAATAGGTCATGGTCACCAGTGTGACATGAATGGCGTTTATTGATATTAACCACAAAGCCTTCCTTGTCCAGAGGTTGCGGCATGAAATGTCATCATTCAGCTGGAGTGTAAACGGCATGAGGAAGTTGTCTCAATCTCATCTTTCCACCTTGGAGCAATTAAAATGGCGGTCCTCATTTCCATCGTCGCTGAGGCCCGTCTAAACGAGTCAATTCTACGTGGAAAGACTTTTCAACTGCCACAAAATGCTGCCAAGTTCAGAATTTTTGGTTTGCTTGGCGATGCTGCAAGTTGCATGGCGAAGAATCCTGTGGCAAATTTTACTTTAGCGTAGTTTCTGTACCCCTATCAATCGAAAATGAGGAATAGAGTGATTCTCCGACTCCTTCTCCCCTTCGCTTTATTGAAACCACCTGGCATTGTCCACGGCGATCGTCGCTGATCATTCCTTTTTCCGTTTGCCCGTTCTCTCATCGTGTCGTTGGTGGTAACACAATGTTGATGGTATCCTGTTGGACCCTCGCCCTCGCGGCACGCATTCCGAGGGACCACCCTCGACTGGGCAGTGGATTAAAGTTCTTAAGGGAGCCCGTTCTCTGGCTGATTGAACTCTGCCAGGAAGCTTCCTCACCATCGGTAAGTAGTCAGTTAATGAAGAGCCTTAATTGATGCCCCATGGAGTGAAGGAAGACTACGACATTTTCCTTCGTTCATGCCGAATTTACGCAGTGTCCGCTTGATTCTGGTAACTTAGGGGGACCATTTAAGCAGGCGTCGGCTTCCTGGTATTTGAACACCCGCAGGGCATTGGATGCCCGACCTCATATCTGCGTTGGGCTGAAGAAAGGTATATATAAATGAAGATTGTTTTTTATTTGTATTTATTCCCTGTTTAAGCGAACAACCGAGAGAACATTTTTCGGCTCGAACTCCATCAGAAGCTTCGCAATGGCAGAAATGTCTAAACAAAAGGAGAATCCGGTATGCATCATGTAGCAGATCAGTGCGACGAGGCTGAAATTTTAATTATTACCGTATCGCTTGATAAATACTTTTTTGAGTTTTTGGGGAACATACAGTTGTTAAAATCAAAACCTGGTGATTATTTTTACCTTATGCTTCAGAACTCCAGCTGAAGCAGTTTGGCTGATAGTCTGCTTCGTTAGTTTGACCAATTTTTCTGAGATTTATTTGTAATTTAATGAGGTGGTTTTCGCTGAATCTCCTACCTTGCTGAGATTCACGGTTTTGGCCATCTTCTTGAAGAGCAAAAAAACATTCAGTTTGTCGAAGTTTGCGACCGAATTTCTTGAAGTCTCTATGCATGCGAAAATAAATGTGTTCAGATGCTTCAGAAAAATTCTTCTTCATGCTCTCTATTTACTTCAGACCGTCGAATCAACTGCTCACAACTGCTCGATTTTACCTCCCTGCCGGCACGATTTATTGCGCTGAACGTTGTGGAAGGCGAGGGAAACAAACTGATAGCCAATCAAGGAGCGAGGGAGCGAAGATTGTGCCAAGCCTTCCTTCGGATCATGTTCCTAGTGAACAAATTCGACAACCAACCGGATTAATGGGCGTAGCTTCTGCTTCCTACGGTTAAGAAAGAGAAGATGGTAGCCCATCTGGTTCGCCTGATTAATAGCCAGAACGTCAACAGTTACCAGCCGGACTCTGCTGGGCCATGGACGTCGGTCAGTTCCAAAAACAAGAAAATTATGTGGTCAGCGGTGGGCACAGAAAACGCACAGGCAAGACTATTGGAGCAGCACTGACTGGTGTTCATAACATATTTGCAACGAAACGAAATTGCCTGAAAAATTATAATTATTTTCATCATTA